GCAGATTATTTTCAACACATAGTGACAGCTGTTCATTTGTTTCACAGTTCACCCGCATCTCAAGTCTTTTAATTAAGTGAGATGATACTGGTGTACAGTATGTGAGCAGACCTTTTAGAAGTAATGTAATTTGGCTCCGTGTTCGCTGTGCGTGTGACACACTGAAGACCCGCCGTCTCAAAGGAGCGGGGAAAACAGATGATTATCAATTGTTTTTTTCAGGTCTGTATTCTCAACTGCAAATTAAAATGCGGTAATTATTTAATTCGCTGTATGATTTTGAAATTAATTGACTCGATACCATGAAAAGGAGAATGGTCTAGTTTGTGACACAAATCATTTTGTCGCATTCTAAGCTTATCTCAGAAATTCTCGATTTCATTTTCAGTTAAACTGGTAGTCGTTATAATTTCAGTAGTGCTTTGTGTCTGTGGATTTGCATTATAGATTCAGATATCACAGTAACTGCCACACTGTCATACCTTGTCTGTTAGGAATACATTACACTAGGTGCTGTACATCTATATCAACATCCACCTGAAGGTGTGTGAAGAGAGGTGGACTGTTTTAAAAACCAGTCTCAGGAAAGCTGTTGTCAAGAGTTATTAGATTGGTAGCTGAGCTTTAGGTTGTGACTGAGATTGAAAATCAGTTGTTACTTCACAAAATCGGAGTGCAAACAAAACCTGACTGCCCACTGGCACAGAGACATGATGAACAAAGTGGGGCGGAGATGGAATTTTTATTTTAAAAACAGTCCTCGAGCCTGCGAGAGGGGCTTGTGCAACATGTGAAACAACATGATGTGCTGAAGAACATTGTGGTATAATTAAAATCGATGAATCAGGGTTTACAGAGTGAAACATGATTTCAAACAAGAAGAGGCCCTTTTGGCTAGTTATGCCTCTTTGGTAGTGAGTGGTTAATTGAACCACGGATCTCATCCAGCTGTTTCACGAAAGAAACCAGGGTATCAGCTTCAACAACTGGTCCATTTGTAGCTTGGTCCATACTCCCACAACTCTTTGGGTAAAGAGGTACCTCCCAACCCGCCTCTAAATGCACTTCCACACGATTTCCACTTATGTCCTCTGACTCGTGATTCACTGTGCTTTCTGAAGAAGTCCACTGGTTTGGTTTTGCCTTTGAGGAGCTTGAATACTTGGGCCCTCTAGTAGTCTTCTCTGCTTAAGACTAACAAAGTACCTTCAGCCTTCAGCTAGATTTTGGAGTTAGTAGCATTGTCGATTGCATTTCAAACCTCTGTGAAAGTAAAATGTGCAATTTACATCACAAAATAGACCACATTTCCAGGTCTCATCATATTCTCTGATTCAGAATGAGGCAACCAAACTTCTGGTGTGGTGAAATGGCCTTATTGCACTGTAAACAAGCAGGTTTGTAAATACATCTCTTTTAATCCAATAGAAACATTGCTCTCAACTTCGACAAATACTCCTTACTTCTCAACTCTGCAAGCAGATCATGTTGGCACATTTCTGCAGTGAAATGGCTGCTGCACGACCTGTACTGATTCTCCCAGACATCACATTACACTAGTCATTACAGTGACTAGTGAGCAGGAAGGGCTGCTTCACGTCACGGTTCGTGGTATCTCTAATTTTTGCACGCAGCAAGACCAGGGGTTTGCGACAACGTGGCAACCATACAGCAGCTTCCACAAAGTTCCAGATTTTGTGCTTAATTCCCGGGATTTGTCAAATGTTGCAATACCGTCAATTAATTTATTTTGTTTCGGGATTTTATAACGGGTCAGAGAAATTGAAACTGCAGTTCCCCTTTAATATAGGACATTCCCTTAAGCCCTGGAATGTATCTACTTGCTCTTCTTTGGACTGCTTCCCAGGCAGTAATATAATTTTTGTCACATGGTGTCCAAAGTTGGACACACCATTCTAAATGAGGCCTGAAGGTGAAAAATACACATTAATCGGTTTTCAGTGTTCTGGACAGACAGGAAAGATGATAGAGCTTTAAGCATTATACATCAATTATTTAATCAATTTCCCTACGGGATTAATAAAGTATTATCTATCTATCAAAACAAGCACTCAGGCACAGCAACTTACTCTAGATGCATCTAGGGTCACGACTATATGGATCTGACTTGTAAAAAACATTCAATGAGTATAGAGTATACTAAAGTCTGCTAAATCTGGATATCCCCTGTAATGCAGTCTTATATATCGAATTCAGGAAACACAAGTTTTAAGGAAGAAGAGGTTATCATGGGAAATTATACTTTTCTTTAGATATATTGGTTGGAAGATCTAATAGGCATGTCAGGATCTGAAATGGTAGAAACCCAGGCTAAAGAATATTTTTCCGGATTACAGCAGTACATTTTCTCAGTGATAATACTAGGAAAGTCTTGGAATTCAAAAAAGAGAATATTGCTGTTCTGGAACAAGTCCACAGAACAGTGATTAAATACATCCACTGACAGGCTAAAAGGAAGGAATCTGTTTAGTATCTAAGACCATGAGGAAAAGCTGAATCAAATGTTTAAGGCTCTGACACCGTTAACTGGTGGTGCTTTTGCAGAATCAACAGAGCCAGAGGGGCTTTTACACAAAGAGTTGTGGGTGTCTCTAACAAGCTTCTCAGCCTTGTTGTTCAAGCCGATTTTAAGGCTTCTTTTGGGAAACTGCTGGATGAGGAGGTTTACCTAACTCCTTCAGCAGCAACCAAAAGAACTAGATGGGTTGTGTGGCCTTCTTTCATTTGCAGCTGCCATGTAACTCCACGACACTTTGTTTCACGTTTATACAATGTAGAATGGAATCTAGCGGCAGGCACGTGACACATTGCTGGCAGTTTCTGGTGGATTATGCACTAGCATCTCAACTAGCTAAGGCCGTTGGCTGAGCCCTGACAAGTGACAACAGCCCGTGCAAAATCAACTCTGTTAGAGATACGCATTTGATTACAAAAACACAATATTTCAAATGGGACAAGGACATGGATGGGAGTCAGATGCAGAGCTCTGCATTCATGTGGTGGGATATGGGACCGTATTACACCCTACTCTGTCACACACTGTTGGGGAATGATGATGCTTCTTTTTATCAGTAATGGCCAAATGATGCCACTAGACAATCATGGAGTATGAATCCTCCCCATGAAGAGCGATCTGTCATTCTGAATATTCGTCTTCCTGTGTGTGTCATGAGCCACATTCTTGAGCAGAAGCCGTAGGACTGAAGCCACAAGAACGAGCACTTCAGACTCTTCAGTATGATCAGCGCGCTGACGCCTACGGTGAGAATTGAAATACAATGACCTTTTAGACACCCTGCTTCGCATGATAGATGCGGAAAAAAACCCCAAGGGAAATGAGCGATCCTGCCTCGGACGCATTTGTAATGACCATTCCACAACTCAACTTATACAAATATACAAGTAGCGCATCCTCTCAAGAGAGCGGCTGTCTATCAGCACAGCGGCGAGGAGTGGGTTTGGTAGATTATAGAACTGATTGAACGTGTCTGCGGCTCTCACCAGGACAAGCGGACTGAAGGGGCGAGGAAGGATGAATCTTACTGGATGTGCTTTAGGCACACTTTTCAAATAAATCAAATGAGTATGCAAGCTACAGAAACTGATACGTCTTGAAGTCCCCACCTAATATGAGTGACTATGCAATGAATGAAAGCATATTCTTGCCTTGAGCTTGGTGCTTGGCAGGATAGGCTCCTGAATTGGAAGAAGTGGTTCGAACAAGGATGGATGGAGGAATGCCTGTCAGACCTCACTGGTCGCAAGGCCTGAATTCAGCTGTGCTTTCGTCCCCTTTCTCCCCCACTGCGGAGTGGCCCCGGGTTCAAATCCACACCCCCGGGGTGTTATCTGTGCGGAGTCTGCATGTTCTCCCTGTGTTTGAGTGGGTTTCCAGCAGCCATGTCACTACTGGCAGCCCACTGCAGCTCAGCAGGTGGGAGCCTGGTCAGTACCTGGATGGGAGACCTCCTGGGAAAAACTAAGGTTGCTGCTGGAAGAGGTGTTAGTGGGGCCAGCAGGGGGCGCTCACCCTGCAGTCTGTGGGTCTTAATCCCCCAGTATAGTGACGGGGACACTATACCGTAAACAGGCGCCGTCCTCCAGATGAGACGTAAAACTGAGGTCCTGACTCTCTGTGGTAATTAAAAATCTCAGGGCATTTCTCGAAAAAAGAGTAGTGGTTTAATTTCCCATTGGCCTTTACCAATCATGGCCTCCTAATAATCCCCATCTCTGAACTGGCTTCATCACTCTGCTCTCCTCCCCACTGAGAGCTGGTGTGTGGGGAGCGTTCTGGCGCACTATGGCTGCTGTTGCATCATCCAGGTGCACACTGGTGGTGGAAGAGGGGATCCCCATTAAAAGCGTCCAGAAAAGCGCTATATAAGTGCAAGCAAATAATTAATTATTATTTCCTCCCACAGTGCAAAAACATAGTTCTAGGTTAATGTCTTCTCCTGGGAAAACGAACCCTCGGTGTGAGGTGTCCGTTTGTTCCCTGGGCTGGACTGGCGGCCTGTCCAGGGTGTACAGTGCATTTCACCGGCTGATGCTGCCGGAACAGGCTCCGGCTCACCCGCGACCCTGCGTTGGGTGAAGCGGTTAGATAATCGATGGATTGATAGAGCTGGCTGCATTCTCGGCTTGCTATCGGTGCAACAGTAACACAGGCGATAGTAGACCGTTTACAGTGAATGGTCACTGCTTTATTTTAACTGTTATTCGGCCTCATCGCGTTTTCTCAATCTGAACAATATACACAGTACCCACCCCACCACTTCACAACCCCCGCACGAATACTATTATTTAGCAGCAACGCGCCGGTTTGTGAAAACGCGTGGGTTTTTTTTTTTGCGACAAATACCCAAGGAAGTCGCAGAAGACAGCGGGTACTTCTGTCTCCATAGCAGCAGCAGTAGGCGCATCCTGGCCGGCTGCGCTCGCTCGGCGACGCTGAGAGCTGCCGCTTGCTCGTACAGAAGTCGTACGTGTGCGCTGCGCAGGCAGTCTCCCCTGCAAAGTGCTGAGAGCGGAGGAGGAGGAGGAGGGGATGGACCGCGCATTCGGTCCGCCTTCTGGATGCAGCAGAGCTATTTAGCGATGCAGTTTCAGCCAGCCCCTTGCAGCGGGGGGACAGCGAGAGGCATGGAGATCCACTCCTCGACAACAGCGAGCCTGGCAGCGGAGTGGTCTCTGCGGTGACTGCACACTGCGATGGCAGGACTGGTTTCTGTTTACAGACTGCAGGCTCACAAACCGCTGGACCAGCAGCTCGCCCGTCGCTGATTTACAGTACATTTTGGGACTGCGTTTGCTTTTTACCTTTATTTTTTTTTTACATATATTTTTCTGTTTTAAGGAGACGGAGACCCCCCCTTCCTCTCACAGAGACCTGCACGGACCATTTTCTTTCTGGCGAGCAATTTTTGAAATTGTGCTGTTGTGCGACCGCCGGTGTCATTTTATGTTTTACAAGAAGTTACATTCGTTCTGCACGAAATGCATGATAACATGTAAACCCCCCCCTAACTGGAAATCATTCCCAGAACTGTGAATGATACCTGCTTCGTCGGAGATCGGGCAGGGTGGCCGAAAAGATTTACAGATCTGGGATCGAAATTTCGGCTGCTGTGATCGCGCACTGCGCGCCGGGTGGAATCAGAGCATCTCCGCTATCAGAAGCACAGACCTGCGCCTGCACTCCGCCTCGCTGTTATATCAAGGGAGGATCCGCGGCAGCTGACTGGAGCCGAGATCACGGAGCATGCTTTGGATGTAAAATTAAGAACAGCGCAGAGCAAGATGGGGAAAGATCAGGAATTGCTCCAGGCGGTGAAGACTGAAGACGTTGTTACGGTACAGAAGCTCTTGCAGAGGCCTAAACCTGGAAAAGCAAGTAAGTGGCATTTAATTCAGGTGGCTGTCTTTTTAAAGGTGGCCGGCTGAGCGAGGGATGTATCAGACTGCGAGAAATCTGGTCTCTCTATGGCTTCTGGATTCGTGCGTTTTTCCCACTTGCGCCTCTGGGGTCTACGCTACACTCGTTTTCTGTCAATACCGGCTCTTGAGAGATGAGATTCCGTCAGTCGTGGAATCTAGATGCTTCAACTCGCTCCTCCGGGGCGGATGGGCGCGCATTCAGCCGTCCCGCTTCCTAACAGGGTAGACCTCCAGATGCGAATTAACACAGCGTTAGCAGTAATAGATAGTCCAGCGTAACCTAATTAGAAACCATACCCTCTCCCAGTCACGTTAAGGGGGCGAATATGCCGATAAACATGCTGATACTTGTCGAATTAGACGGGATTGAAGGGTGGCTTGGAATATTAAAGATCGGTCATCATCAAAATGAGATTAGATAACCCTGATCGCGTTTTGCTAACGCGCACATTTCACTCTTTATTATATTATAGTTACGGGGTTAATATCACTGTTATAAATATCGCCAGCTCCAATTGCCAGGGTGAGAGGCGTGTCATTTTCTTGGGGGTCGTGTGGTGTGTGTGTATAGGCTCTGTGCCCCTAATGATGAATTCGTGGGAATCGGTCGGTAAAGGCTCAATATTGCCCGGGCTGAGCCACCCGAAAGCGCCTTTTATCTACACAGCGATGCAAAGCCAACAAACTGAACGACGTGAAAAGCCATTGAGATGCGGGGGTGTTGCCCTGTGCGCGGTGGGGGTGGGGGAGTGTGAGGGAAGATGTTGTGTGCACGTCGTTCTGAATGCGAGCCCTGTTGAATGATACCGTGCTCTGTGCCTAGACGTGCTGATTCGCTGATGCCTGAACTTACATCCACTCTGAGCACACATTCAAGACCGGAGGAGGGTGAGCTGGTGCTGGCTGGTTATGGGCACAGGCAGAGCAACACCCAGTGGAAGGGTACAGGCAGGTGGCATGCAGATGACCCCTCACCAGGCTGCTGGGCATCCTGCAGTGTGCGTAGGGGGCTGTGCCTAACCCCTCGTTTCTCACTTTGGTGTGTCATAAGAGTCCTGCATCTGATACGGAGCAGCCTGAAGGGGTGATGAGTGAATGTATCAAACTTGAGATGTCGTTCCTGAACGTCTACAGTGGAGCTTCAATATACAGGGTGAACAGTATGGTATTAATATATGTAGTTAACATTCATCAGCTTGTAATTCTTCTGTAATGTCATTACAAAATCATTTGGTGGATTTCAACTCAATGGCCGGGGGCTATAACTGTGTGGCTCTCCAGAGCATTACACAGACCCACTGTCTTCACATTTAATGCAAGTCCTGTTTCGCTGTTTTGTTTTCCTATTAATATTTTGCAAGTAAAGCAGGTGTCCTCCAGAAGCCTTGTTTTGGATGGCAGGTTAAGGATCAATTGTGACCCATCATGATTTTGAAGATTTGCCTCTCACAGTTTCTTACGGCTGCCCATTCCAGAAATACAGACTGTTTTGGGGGGGGTTAATTTAGGGGGGGCACATGTTGTGATTATTCGGTGGTTCTGCAGACAGGGTGGCAGCTTGGCTGGTGAGCTGTAGAGAACGACTACAGAAAGATCTGCTCTCAGCAGGGACCTGGAGGGATAATTGCTTTTCAATGAGGCCATGCTGAATTGCCTGGCTTTCTCTTGGCTCCGGAACAGGATTTAGAAGTTGGGAGCGGCCTGGCTCCGAATGTGGGACAGGCTCCAGCAGGAGAGTAAGAACTGTAGTGGCAGCAATACAGCAGGTGCTCGTACAGAAAAGGAATTAGACTCCCGTTGCACAGCGGTTCGATACAGTCCGGGCTGGAGGAGCAGCAGGGCTGCAAACCGACCTGACGTAATGGAAGAACAAGCAGGAGGAGGGAACTTATTCTCTTCCCAAATTCCTTTTTCATTCCATTTTCCTTTTGTTTGCGAAAAATAAGGCATCCCACAAGAGGCCTCTCTACCCAATTGCCTTATGGGTAAATTCTGTTGCACGGTGGGTGTTTTCACCACTTTTCACCCCTGTCGGGTGACTGTCTCTTTGTGTGTGACATGTCTAAGAAAGATTAGAAATGAGAGGCGACTATCTTATCCTTGAACGTTCCTGGTGGTTAGTAGGTAACCCTGTTCTCTCAGGATCTCATCCGGCTCTTTCTTTAAAGAAACCAGGGTATCGGCTTCAACAACAGGACTGGGTAAGCTTGTTCCACTTGGATAAAGAAGTGCCTGCTGTCCAGTCCCAGGTGAGACACTGCTGTTGTGCCCTTGAGCAAGTTACTTCACCCAACCTGCTCCAGTAAAATGCTCCAGCTACATACAGTAAATGGATCTAAATGTAAGTTACTTGGGATAAAAGCCTCAGCTCAATGAATTAGTAATAGTTATTTTTTTATCCTGGGATGCTTTGGGCCCGAAACATGGTTTCTTCAGTTTCAGCTTGACGCTGCACAAAATATCTTTGTGTGATGCAGGGAGCTGAGGCTGCAACAGCAATCTGCTTACAGAGTATCTTCTGTCCCTGTCATTTTTTTTAATGTGGGAGTTAGTAGAGAGTCATAGGAACTTGTCAGACACAGCAAATACAGCTTGCATGACTCTATAGTGAAGATGGCTGCTGTTGAGTGATGGAGGTCAATATTCTATTCCTTGTTCTGCTGCTTTTTAGCCCAGTCTGTTTACAGTGCATGCAGATTATGTAACAGATAAGAAGCGTTTCCACTCCAGTCATTCCATTAATAGGATTGTCATATCCAAATAGTTTTCTTCTTGGCCCCATCCTTTCCATGTAAGTGCTGGTCAAGATAAATTGAGTTTTTACAGCAGAGAGATTTGTCAGCCTGTTTTTTTTTAACAGAACAGGCCTATAATGTGTGTGTATTCTCTTCCAGTACATCTGAACAACTCTGCCTATTTACGTACTTCTGCCTTTATGAAGAAATGCCTGTTTTTGGGCATGCATTTCGGTTTAAGGATTAGGGTTTGGGTTTGGTGATCTTATTCTACTCAGATTTGCTTGGGTGTAAAGAGGGGCCGCCAAAAAGATCACACAAGCCACAGCAGTGGTTGAAAAGTGTGTGTCAAAGCCAGTGTGTGTGACTGCATTTTTTACATGTGTGCGCACACATGCGTGGGAGTGTGTACGTTCTATCCAGGAAACTTATAGAAAAATGAAAAAAATAAGGCTGTCGATTATGTCAAATATCTTTCCCGGGGGGTATCTCTTTCACTTTGCGCTAATAGCAGACAGGTTTACTGCTGGCACAGGAGGAAGGCCCTGTGATAGGCTGTGTTTCTGCACCTGTATGTGAGCAGCCCAGCTGGCTGAGGCTGGGGTAGTAGCCCTGCCAGGCTGGGACAGCCCCGGACTGTCACGATCGTAAACCCCTCCTCTTAAGGACGCTCCAGCCCTTCCTTGTTCTGTTCTCATTCCCTGCACCTGCCTCCAGTTCCTGCCCCCCGTCCTATAAAACCCAGACGCTCACTCTGTTCCGGGCTCTGTATTGGTTCCTGTACCAGGCGAGTCCGGGACCTGGAGCGCCTGGTCCTGTCAAGTTTTTAGTTCCTGTTCTTGTTCCTGTGCCGGTTCTGACCCGGTTCCCGTTTTTAATCCACTTTGTCTTTGTCTCGGATGGACCGCCCCGGCTCTGGACTTGTGCCTTCTCTCGGATTCCCCTTTGGACTCAGTTTTGGATTGTTTGCCTCGGCCACACCTCCGCACCACCGAACACCAGCGCACCATGGACACGCCCCCTGTTTCATTCCTGACCCCTGCAAGCTTTTTTTCCCCATGTTTTCCTCACTCTACCCCGGATTGTGTCATCTGCATAGGGTCCAGAAAGAACGCCTCGTTACACGGACAGGGTGATGGGCACAGAGCAGCACAAGGGGCAGAAGATGTGACCCCCATGGGCGGAGTTGGCTCTCCTGTATGTTACAGTGTGGCTCTGGGGCAGAATGTGCCCTGTGTCTCAGTACAGCAGTGTAGCGATGCGTTGGTCAGGACCCTATGCAGACGGTATAATCTGGAAGTAAGTGAAACGGATAACGGGGAGGAGACCACAAGGAACTGGGAAGGTTGACGAACAGGGGGGCATGACGACTGTGCATCGGTACTGGTGGGGCGTGGCCAGGGCGAACGGGTCCAGAGGAGTCCAGGGGGTAATCCAGGGCGAACTCCAAAAGTCCAGAGCCGGGTGATCCATCCAAGACAAAGACAAGACAAGGTTTAAAAACCGGAACGGGATCCGGTGCAGGGACAGGGAATAAAAGCGGTTTAACGAGGCCAGGCGCTTCGAGCCCCAGACTCAGACGGTCAGGACGCCGTGATGAAGCCTGTGCCAGCGGGTCTCTCCTGGACCCACTGGCAGGTGGGCTTCCGGGCGTCCATCTCCCAATACTGAGCCAGGAATAGTGAGAGCGTCTGGCTTAAATAAAGAGGGGCTGGATAGGAGGCAGGAGCCCACGATCAACTACAAAGTGAAAGAGCCGGAGCGCCCTTAAGAGGAGGGTTTACGATCGTGACAAGCAGGTATGCCAGGCCTGTGTTTTTACTTGCTCAGTATTGCAGCGTTTTGGTAGTACAGGAGGGAATACAACCAGAGTGGCAAAGTAACCTCCTGTGATTGCTAGGAGCTTCAGCGAGCACGGATACAGTACACACGCCTCCGCTAGCACGATATCACATGATAATGTGTGTTTACATTCTCTTTCATTATTATCATTACGACTAGTCATGGTGGCAATAACACTGGCAGCAGTAGATGTTATTCATGCTCCTGCTGGTGGCTCGGAGGAAGCTCACTTTCCCTGGAGAGCTGTCCTGCTCGACTTCCGTGCTGACGAAGGTGAGCGAGATGGCGTTTCTCTGCTCTGGTAGAGCCCGGAGGCTGACTGTCAGCGGATTAATAATAGGAGAGCAGAGTGGGACAGGCAGGTTGCTGTTGGACCCCC